CCCCCCCCGCCCTCGTTTTGGTGCCGAAAAACCCGTTTAAAGATGTATTTGACAATACCTGTGACATAAGCGACTTTAGAGCACACATTTACTGCCCTCAGACGACTCAAGAACTACCTGAGAAGCACTATGAAGCAGGACGGCCTGATGATGCCTACTGATGCATTGTCACAAATCAATTACGGACACACTGGCTACTGTGAGATTGCAATGAGGTTTGCTTGTGTCAACAAACAACGCAAAGTTAAAGGGAATTTTGGAACATCTGAGGGGTTAATGTGTACACTGAGTGGAAGATGAGCTCCCCCCCCCCCCTTCACGTTTCAAAACCCCCCGCCCCGTCTGGCCAGAAATGTTTTGTTGCATAAGACGTGCGACTCTTCGATCCTAACACACTGTTCGTTTCGTCATTTTGCGTGGTCTGTCTGATTTCTTTGATCTTTACACAACGAAAAATTCCTTCGAAATTATTACATATGAGGAGTAACTTGTAACCAGGTCAGGTTGGCCAAGATGGCGGAATGCTTGCAGCAAATTTCAAAAAGCCACTTAGTATCGCTTGATTTTGAGGTGGAAATGCATTCTTCTAAAATAGTTGTAAAGACGGTCCTGGGATCCTTTGCACAATTTGAACTGCGCATCACTTTCAGTCTGACTCAATGAGAGCTAACAAAGCTCCGGCAATATAAACTCACAGATATCAAGATGCAAACGCCCAATTCCTTACGTTTCAGTCAGTGTTCAGTTAGAAACAGGTTCTTGGTGGACTAGGCACACTTAAGTGCCCTTAAATCAGTCAAGCAGGAGATTTACACATACACTTCATTACTTAACTCTTCTAAAACATAGATACTGTGTCTACATCTTTTACATACCTTCAAAGGTTTAAATCCGGCTACCAGAGACTGACCAAGGGCAAGAATGAAGGGTATCCTTGTAATTTATGGAAATGCTTTACGCGGAAAGTTGGGATAGTTTGTGCGAGGCGGGATCACTATTCTTAGAAAAAGCGAAAACAATTCAACATGTTTATCAAAGCTCAAAATAGACTGCCGCGTGCAGTTTCTGTTTTGCTCGAAAATCTGTGAGCGAGTGCGGTTCAATTCAGTCCTATTTATTTAAGAACAAGAATCAACTGGGCTGCCAAGGCCGATTTTTCCTGGGGGAAGGGGTGACAGTACACACTCAGGCCAACACATAACCTTGTCGCTGACCATTGCGTGACATAGCATCTCATTCAGCTCATTTTAAAGTCGGGGCTGTATAGTAACTTTTCAAATTCTACCATTATGAATAAAAACAAGAAGACGCCTGAAGGCGTTTACGCCGGATGTGTTAATTGGTGTAAGTAAGAATTATGTCGAATGGCATTGGAAAGTTAGCAGTGTATCAACAACAAGTGTGTGCAGGAGAGACGGGCGGAGATGTTCCGTTAAATACACTAGAAAGTGAGTTCACAAGGGTTCTTTTGCTTCTGAAAACAAAACTTACATCAATATTACCACCATATATGATAAAGAGTATGGGCTAGTTCACTAAAATTTGCATTCTGGCTTTACCAATATCCTCAATAAATGCACTTCCACATTCAACAATAGCATGTAATGTATCAGACTTCCAATAACTACAGGGCGCAAGGCTGTGCTCTAAGGAAAATTTTCAGAGAGCTCTTCGGGCTCCCAAGCACTTTAGCTGGGGTGCCTGGGCCTCCAAGTTGGTCGCCAAATTAATAAATCAGTGAGCTGTTAGTTTATTATTAAAAATGAAACAAATTTTTTTCTAAGCTGGTCAAGCAGAATTTTGTGTTTTGATCTTTTATTTTCATGAAAAATCAAATCCTTTGACCTCCTCAGCGAGCGAAGAAAAACCCGCATGTTGTAATATGAAAGCTATGAAACCGATCAAAGTTTTCGCGCCATATGAGAAACAAGGGCAAGGCCGTCAAATATTTCTTGTTTCTTTAGTGGAAAAGAGGACACCGGGGGTACTGGGAACACTGGGGACACAAGGGACACAAGAGGACACAAGGGACACAGGGGGCACAGGAGACGCGGGGGACACAGGGGACAAAAGGGAAACAGGGAACACAAGGGACACAGGGGACACAGGGTAAAAAAGGGACACCGGGGACCAAAGGGAACACCGGGGACACAAGGGTTGAGGGGTTGAAAATAAAATTCGCTTTCTGAGAAAGCTGCTATGAATTTCAACTAAACCCCTGCCGCTTAAAAACTGTTATCGTCGTTTTATACTGTCGGTGAAGCGCTCAGGACAAATGAGATTTTTGTGGATTCGGTAGCCAGCTGGCTCTACTTTCACCACGAAATTTAGCTTTTGCGTATTTAGTTTTAGTACGCGTGATAGGTACACGACACCAAAGACAATGCGGGACTTTATAGATTTACATATCTTTTTCTAAAAGAATCACAATAATAATAGTATCTTTTCTTTTCTTATACATCGTATTTTACTGGAATAAAAGTCTTAAGTCATGTTTTAGCCTCGTAAACACAGCAGTTAAAAACAGGTAAAATTATTTAATTATCATAAAACTGAGACGACTCCCCTTTTTATTCAGAGATTTTTCAAAATACAAAACTCTAGCTTCGCGTCCCCGACATTACTTTACGCCTGTCAGAACAGAAGTAACAAAGTCTTTTGAAAAACTAACTAATGAAACATCCTAATTTGAAGAAAATATGTTAATGCTATTTTAAAAAGCTGTTAAAATCGAAAAAGGTGCAGCTTGTCACGTTCATAGTCAAGGATTATGTTACATGTGAATTCAAGTGGAGCGATCTTTAAACATCAACGCACGCCCGGACGGTGCCCGATTTACATGTAACAAGTCGATGTAGTAGTGTATATTTGGGCGTCGATGTACTTGGCGTGTGTGAAGTTGTTTTATGTGTATTACGGGTGTGTGAGTAGTGCAGTAGCGTTGCATATTTTAGAGGTTGGTTGAGACGAGTGAACTGAAGGCGTGGGGTTACATGGGACATGAATTGGTAAGACAATGGCTGTAGTTTGTTGAACTTGTTTCTCGTAGAATTTAATATGAAGTAACATAAAATAACTATTTTGGGAGGTAAAAGTGATTTTAGGAGTTGCAGTGAGGTAGTTATGAAAGTGCTAATTTGGTTATGAAGGGATAGTGTTGTTACAGTGCGTTGAAATGAAGTGGTGGTTGTGAAAAGTCTTATCAATAGTCGAAAACCTGATACTTGCACTTAATTTAAAAGATCTTGTTTGACTCATGCTTATTTTTAATAAGGCACACGAAGAGTTTGAATATAGAAACCTCCTCCTACACATTATTACACATTATTACCCTCCCCCAGGGATAAGTTGAAGTTCTTTGGTCAAATATCAATATAAATGAAACGTCAGATATTGATTAAACACAAGTTTGTTTTATTTTGATACATGTTTTTAACAACAACGTGATGCATCATACGATACATCGCAATAGGAAGGGTGCATTAAAAAAGGTAATAGGACTATGATTTAGCCTGCCTGAAAGTTCTCGTGATTTTCTTCTTTGGCTTATATCCCCTTTCGTGGCATACAATCCTCTCGAATTACTAAATCGACCTCACTTCCACAAAGGATCAGCGAATGCAACATAGTATGGAACCTCTACTTAGCCTGAGTTCGAATTAAAACGCAGACAAAATCCATCTCTTTTTATACATTTACAGTTTTCTTTGTACTCAATTGAGGAGAACTGGGTACAAAGTAAAAGTTACGCCTGTTGGTTTTTGTTCGTACAACCGTTACTTCTAACAAGTAAAAAAAACAGAGGCGGCCCCAAAAAATGAAGCTGGCGGGGACGAGAAACATTTGGTTTTTTTTACTTGGCCTTAAGCTACTTTGTAAATAATTCGTCGCGAAAGTTAGAGCAAGTTGAAAAATATTTCATGAATTGTATATTGATAAAGTAATTAGATGAGTCCGAGATCATTTCATTGATCAAAACGTTTACGAGTAATGGGTAATATTTGGAATCAGAGTCTTGACTTTATTGTAAAAATTATTCCCTAAACAAAGAACTTTTACAACAACGAAAAAGAAAGTAAATTTCGTCTTTTTCTTGGATGATCCACAAAGATGGCAATTTCCATTATCTCTAGTAGTTTGATTGTATCTACTAAGTTTAATCCTAGTTTTAAAACGTTTTAAATCTGGTGATCATGACCCACGTGATCTCAATGGTTGTTCCCGCATGCATGCAGTATAAGTATAATTGGTAGACTGCAAAACAAATAGGTTATTTTTCTCAAAATCCGGGTTTTGAGCGTCTCTCCCCACCCTCACTCTTCGTTTCAACCCTCCTCCTCTTTTTCTCCGATCCTTTCCGGTTTTATCACTCGCGTTCATTGTACAAATTCTCGTCAGGGCCACCCAGCGACTGTTTTCTGTGAAATATCTGTTCGGAGAAGCAAAAGTTGTCTAGAATTTTCCGTAGCTTGAGGAAGGCTAAAAATTTTCAGACGAACGTTCCATTTATGTACAATTTTTTAAACTTATCTAATAAATTCCCTACGAGTTTTCCTATTTCACTGCCCGGGTTAAGCTATTTTTCGTAGAGAAAGGAAACCTAAAATTTTCGGAATCGAAACTGCGATGCAAAGAGGAATTAGAAAAATTCTCACTTTCGTAAAACTTTAAATGGCAGCTAAAATTTTCGGGAAAAATAATACTGAAGCCCTTGTAATTTCGAAAAGACTCAAGTTGCCCTAGGATATGACCGAACAGATATAACTTTTTTAGCGCCTCTTAGGATACATTTCTAGAGATCTAAAAGTACCCTGGATAGCCTAAAAAGAGTATTCAATGCATTTAGGAGGAGAAAGTCGTCGGGTGCCCCTGTCTCGTTGTCCCAAGGAAATGACCGAAACGAGAGAACTTTTTTTACAGCTGTTAGGATTAATTACTAGAAAGATAAAAGAACCCTTGATTGCCTAAAAAAAGGAATAAAAGGATGTAGGAGGGAAAAGTCGTCGGGTGCCCCTGTTTCGTTGCCCCCCCCCCCCCCCCGGCCAAAGGCGGCGATCCTGGCACCAAGGGCCTGTTCCGTTGGGTGAAGAGCCGGACTGAAAAAAAAGCTTGTTTTGCAGTCTGTTAATGAGATACTTGTTAATATTAGAGGCAAGGGTTAAGATAGTGCCGAGGTGCGGAGCTCAAGGAGTTGATAAAACACGGACACCAAGCGTGTTTTTTGAAGACTTTGAAAGACTTCAACGGAAAAATTAATTGTGGCAGTGAAGGTGGATTTCCACTGTCGAGTTATTTTCACGTGCGTACGCAGATAAAATAGAGGCAAAGATCCCGCGTAAAATAAGTTGAACCTCACTCGTTTACCCGCGACCTTTCATACAGTGCCTCTATTTTATATACGATTTACACTTGACAAGCAGAAAACTTTGTAAAAAAACAAGATCACCTCCGGCCTTACTTCTATTCAAAGACCATAATGGCACTAAGCACACAACTGTAAAATGAACTATTAAACCCTTGTTCTATTATTGAGGCCTATATATATATATTTATAATAAGTAATGAGTAAAATCGAGCTAAGAACTAGAATACGACTTGTTAAGAACTAAGAAATAAATGATTCCTGCTTGACACGATATCTGGGAGATCACTCTTGTGTGGAACGAGGTTCGACACTGAAAATAAATGCTGTAAATAAGTAAAGAAAAGAGAAGAAAATTAAGAACATCAAGTTTATCATATCAACAAACCTGAAGTGCCGACGCACTGAGTGTTTTCTAGCCTGTGCACAGCTGGCTCCTTCCCTCAAACAATTTGAGGGAAGGGAGCGGCTGTAAACAGGCTCAGTCTTTTCAGGCTAGCACATTCCGGCACCCTAGCCCGATTGGTTTCATTTTAGATGCCTCATAAGCAAGGCATCAGCTGTCATGCGGCGTGCGGGACTGTGTATCATGTGCCTTTCATTGTACCTGTTAAGAAGTACTAGTTCCACGTTTCGTAATTGATAAGATAGACGACCACTGACAAGATGGTGAAATGCGGCGCCATTCCTGCTATTAACATGATTAAACTTTGTTTATTTTCATTGGTCCCCAGCTATCACCGACAGCTCCCTCTCAATGAAATTCATTTTATTGGCTGATAAAACTCATCTTTAACTTCCTATAGAAGCTATCAATAAGAGTCAGAGCATAAACTGATGGCGAGATCTCCCACCGATCAGCGGAAGACAGAGTCCCGGTTAGGATATTGGACATTAGTAAAATCCAACTAGTGGTCTATTATCAATACTGCGTTCTGATTGGTTGAGCTACTACTAGGCTATATGTTATAGCCCACTAGTAGCGAAAGGCGCGAGCTTTTGGCGGCAAAAAAGGATTAAAGTCTAGTTTTAACTCGCTGGGCTTAACTGGGCTTTTGACTCAGAACCCATCCGGGCTCGAGGAATAATTGTTAATTACTTACTGTGTCTGCAGCTCAGTTGACGTTATAATCTTTCAGCGTAACAATATTCGATGTATTCATCTTGGGTCGCTTGGGAGACTGATCACTGACCTCTGCCCTTCCTTTATTCTCCTCTGCTGATGCTGTGCCTGTTAAAAAAGCAACAAACTTTTTAAGCTAATAACAACCTGAAAATGAATAAATAAATAAATTAACTAATTAATAAATGAGATTAAGGAAAAAACGAAATTGGCCTCGGTGTCGGTCACACTAATTGTTGGTTCATAGGCCATGTTCAGACGTCGTGCTTCTGCCGTGCCGAAGTTAATTGTAATTTGGTTCGACTGTAGCACGGCAGGAAAACAACTTTGATTCAGACGTCGTGCCAGAGTCGAACCAAATTCAGGATTTACTGATGCCTCGTAACAATTCTTCTCCCGACTCTCCGTGGGAGCGCAATCTCGCTAAAATACATTAATATAATTTATGAATTTTGTTTAGCGCGGCAGAAGCACCACGTTTGAATCGCTGCCGTGCCAGAGCCGTGTAGCACGGCAGCGCTTGTCGAACTTAATTGCTTGCCGAACTTAATTCAAAAGTTTGATTCAGACGCCGTGCTTCTGCCGTGCTTTTGTCGAACTTAATTCCTCAATTTAGTTCGGCACGGCAGAAGCACGACGTCTGAACTGGGCCTTACCTTTATAATTAGGCATGCTCTTGAAAGCAATGGGATCAAGGACCTTAGCAGTTACAGAAGCTGCCATAAAACTTGCGAATCGTTTCCACTCGTCTGTGCTAGAGTTTGTCCCATCTGCGTAATCAGCAACGCCTTTAATAACTGCCCATTCCATTTTCAGGTCATGCGCTGCTTTATAGAGACCTGAAAAGAATGATTTTGCTTTAGTCTACGCAGGACAAAGAGACCTACAGCAGTCAACTTCAGGGGCCAAGGAATTCTATNGTTTGAATCGCTGCCGTGCCAGAGCCGTGTAGCACGGCAGCGCTTGTCGAACTTAATTGCTTGCCGAACTTAATTCAAAAGTTTGATTCAGACGCCGTGCTTCTGCCGTGCTTTTGTCGAACTTAATTCCTCAATTTAGTTCGGCACGGCAGAAGCACGACGTCTGAACTGGGCCTTACCTTTATAATTAGGCATGCTCTTGAAAGCAATGGGATCAAGGACCTTAGCAGTTACAGAAGCTGCCATAAAACTTGCGAATCGTTTCCACTCGTCTGTGCTAGAGTTTGTCCCATCTGCGTAATCAGCAACGCCTTTAATAACTGCCCATTCCATTTTCAGGTCATGCGCTGCTTTATAGAGACCTGAAAAGAATGATTTTGCTTTAGTCTACGCAGGACAAAGAGACCTACAGCAGTCAACTTCAGGGGCCAAGGAATTCTATTCATCATCGTTAACTCCATACCCTGTGAGCGCAGACGTATTTGACCGAATGTTTCCAAATTCGTCAGAAGTGTCTCAGATGGCCTGTTTGGTTAATTTGGAGCTCCCCGTAAAACTATTTTTCTGTTCGGATGTCTTAGGGGAACTCTGATCGTCTCGATAGTTTTAGGTGGCTTTTTCGCTGCATTCGAAACTGTTAGCTACCCTGATGGGTCCGGTCGAAATTTTGAGGACATGGAGTAGACGTACTTTTCTTAGAAGATTAGATTATATGGGACGTTTTATACTGAAATTTTCAAAAGACCTTTTTATACACTAACTGCAATGCCTTGGAGGAATAGAACCAAGAAATTTTTAGCTTTTCTTGAGCTTTTGAAATTTCTAGGAAATATTTGCTCTTTCGAACAGTTGTTTGACAGAAAAAAATCGTCCGGTGCCTCCGTTTGAAGCGACCACTGGGAATACGTCTGCTTTCGCAGGCTATGAACTCGAATAAAAAAGGCAAAAACTGAACTAGGATTTTTAAACGTTCATAACAGCATTCACTTTGGCTCGAGAGTGGGCACCGTTTAAAATCCGGCAGTTGCTGTAGTTCGAAGCGCCTATCATCTTTGGCTCAGGAAAAAGGCAAATAAATGTATAAATAAAAATTGATAAAAAATTAAAAGATAATTTAAAAAAAAAACACCAAACTTAATTTTGACTTCTTATCTTCATCCTCGCTCATCCCTTAATATATTTTTCTAACTGACTATAGTTGTTTATCTTTGGCTATGGATGGGCCGGAGTTGGGTGTATTGCAATATTGAAACAATAGGCCATTTTTTTCATCTTCTAATGTGTTTTCCAGTTAAATAAGGTCAGTTGGTTTATGTACAAGACTCTCGCCTTGCCCACGCTTCGCACTCTTATGTTACTTGATCTTCGCTGAAACTGTTAACGTTATTTGTTAAACTCTTTAGTTACCTTCGCCCTCCATGTCTATAGCAATGGCTTCACCAAATCGCCCGGTAAGTTCTGCATGTAGCTTTTTACTATTAACCTCCTTTGGGCCGCTCAAAATTACGCCATTTTGTACTTTCACCTCGAGCTCTGCCACATTCTTCAACGGTCGTTTCCAGCCTTTTCCCGCGTCTAAAAGGAGCCTTGAAAGATGTCTGGACACCGGGACAGCATCATTCCAATCTTCATTTCCCTTGTCTGTTACTTTTTCTTTGGAATATGTCCTCAACTTCGACGAAACTACCACATCCCCTAATTTGACTTTCTTGGCGTCTAAACCACGGCAAAATCCTACCCAAATTACAGCTTTCGGACTTAAGACTTCAACGGCGTTTTTCACAGTCATGAGAGCATCAGTAGGGCCCTTATGACTTTTCATTAAGGCAATTTTCAAGGCATCTTGCCCCGCACCAATTTTCCCAAAATACACAAATCCAGGCTTCTCATCATAACTTTTATAGAATCCCTCATTCAAATAAGAAACGCAAGCCAAAAATTCGCAGTCCTCCACTGTCAGCAACAAAACATCGACTGGGAGTTCAAACTGGGGCCAAGGTTTGCTCGTTGCGGGAAGATCCATCTCCGTCAGCTCCTCCCTTGCTGGCAGCTTACTGAAATCGATTATTGGTGGATTTCTGTTGGTGTTGCCACTGCTGCTGCTGCCGCCAGAGACGGAAGTTGATTCACTGGAGATTCCGGAGTCTGACATTTCTGAATAATATGAAATATAACAAATAATTAAGATAACCATGTAAAAAATGTAGGAAACAGCGTTGCCAAGTGTTCAGCGCGTTGGACTACCTTGGCGTTCCCGGGTTTGTAACGTCTATTTACCAGTTGCCCTTTGTATCAACGTGTATTAAAGGTAATCCAGGGCGCGATCCATTCAACCAAAATTTCCGGAAATTTCGGTCCAAAACTCAATGGATCGGTTTGGTCCAACCGGAAAAGTTTCGAAAAAACTGGTCCACCTTTTGAGGTGGTCCTCTTTTCCAGGTCGGACCGGTCTGAATTTTGGTTGAATGGATCGCGCCCCCAGATTCCGAAATCCGTGAAATTTTTGCTTAAAGAAGCAAGAATCCGGGGAATTTTTGCTTGTGGAGGCTTTTGAATCCGGTATTCAACCTAAGGTATTCGGAATCCCACTAACGA